ATCTTATATATATTATACAGAAGAAATGGAGAAGACAGACGTCAACAAAGCACAAAGCACAGGAGTAATCATGGGGGTCGTTCATTCATTCATAAGTTTACAGTCATTAAATCCATATTGTGTAAATGTATCCATATTAAATCTCATGTAATCGGCTTTTACTTTTTCAAACGGTATATAGAATACGGAAAGTGTGATATAAAGTCAACGTCCTAACAAAGGATGTAACCATGTACACCCGACCCGCCTGGATGAATGTGTGCTGCCTTAATTTCCTCCCGATGACGAGGCTTCAACAACTCAGCCTCCCTCTGGTGTGACAACTAGAGGCCACATCAATACAAAGGGCCAACGACCACACGCTGGGAAAACACTGCGGTCTGGACCGTAATCTCTTGCACCGACGTTTAATTTTGCTGTTAATGTGTTAAACCAAATATCATTACCGCATGTGATCATTAAATATGATGCATTCCATAGATTACCGAGCAGTATTTAACACGGTGGGACGTTTTGAAGATATGAATTCAGGCGCTGCACTGGACCAGCGTTCTGAAAATGTGTTTGAAATTACAGCAGGTTTGGTTCTGGAATAATAGAAAAGATATATATGATATATATATATATATATATATATGTATATATATATATATATAAGGTGTAACCTTTTGAGGGATATAAACGTGTTAGTACACAGATTCTGTTTTTTATGATTTGTTTCTTAAGGCGATAGAACCACTATTATGTAATATTTGGTTATATCATTAACGTTATGAGATGAGGACATGAAGTTCATTGGATCCGAGAAACATGTTGGAACGACCTCAGTCCGGCCGACAGCTTTTCCATTTTTGTGTAAATACGGTTCCACTTTTGTGTGTGTCCCTCACTCAGCGGTGTGTATCAGCGTAGCCTCCGGTCAAAGTGACTGATATTTGTCATCGTATGAGGCGGCAGAGAGCTGAATTATTGAAGTCTTGTTTTTCATCAAGTTGAAATTAAAGCAGCGCACAGAGGCGCAACACAAACAAACACACACACACACACACACACGAGCACACAGCCGTTCACTGTGGCTGATTACTTCTCTGCAAAAGCTGGTTGGATACACAAACCCCAAAAATGAAAATCATCACACCCACTGCTTCAAGTTCAGTGTGTGTGTGTGTGTGTGTGTGTGTGTGTGTGTGTGTGTGTGTGTGCGTGTGTGTGTGTGTGCGCTCACATGTTTGTTGTGTTTGTGTTTACCACACTGTATCATATTTCTCACTTTACTCCATCCACCTCCGTACTGGCGGATGGTGGAGTCCTGTTGGTTTTGGGGGAGTCTGTGAGGTGAACCATGACCAGGTCTCCCGTCGGACCTCGTCCCATGAGAGGACGCTGTCCCCTCAGGGACAGACAGATACACCGTCACACTTTAGGACACACGTGTGATTACGTGGGGCACAAACAATGACGTCTCGTTGTCGCTGTGGAGGCTGATTGCTCTTCAGTGGAGGGTTCATGTGTGCGTTTAAAGAGGGTTTGTAATGCGAAAGTTGAAGGTGACCTTTCGTTTTGTCAACGCAATAAAACTAGACAAATGGACGACTAAGCATTTCTATATCATATACGTTATAAAACGTTTTAAATATGTTGCAGTCATTTAGTTTGAGCTGCTGATTCAGTCGTTAACAATGCATGAGAGTGCACTGTACATGACTTCACACTTCACTGTTTCGTAGCTCCTTTTTGATGGTGTGGTGTAGTTGTTGTGACAGGAAGACAAGCCATCTCTGCAGAAGCTGCACGCCCAAAAGTCAAAAGGAAGTGAAAGCCCACAAAGACATACAGCTCGTGCAAAAGACTCTAGACTTATATACACACTTGCATACTGTAAAAGAAAAAAGAAAATACACATGTAAACAATTTTTAACTAAGATGGGAAATATCAAGTTTTCCCCCTCATTTTTCTTAAAACATTAAATATCACAAATGGGGAATGACATAAGGGAGGAAACAGGTAAACAACAGCGACGGCATTCTAACACAATTATCAGTTATTTTCTTTTTTAGAGGAAGGCCTTTTCATAATAAATGCTATATTTGATTCTTCCATTGCCTTTGAAAAAGGGGAAGAAAGATACAGAGTGACAAACAGAAAGTTGAGCAGATGGTAAAAATCGAGCGAGAGAGAAACAGGCTGCTAACCGTGCTTTCTAGTTTCATAACACATTTTTTCTCTTTACCAGCCATCAGTTGATGTAGAGGTTACACATCAGGAAAACAAACACATGCATAAACCCGCACATTCTGTCATTCCACGGATGATAACTCCAATTCTTCCAACCAGTGCAGAAATCAAGTTGCATCCACCTCAGCAAAGGAAAGAAGAAACATTTCCCTCACGCATTAGTGAGATCATGCAAAATGTCTCACTTTGATGTGAGACGTGGTGACAAACTACTACATGTCCCGATAAGCCCGCAAATATTCTTTCATTCATGATTGAATCATTTATTTCCCCTTCAAGGTTAGGTGTCTTCATTTATACGCCATGTGTGAGTATCAGTAGAAAGCGAGATTACAGATTCTTTGAGCTATCAAACATTAACTACATGTGTATAAACTGTGCCGGGAGATGAAAGACGCCTCAGGTAGATAATCATTAGTATCAAAGGTGATAGATTATTACCCCTTGATGAAATTACAAGCGGATTTGACTTTGGGACTCGACACACTTCATTACGCATTACACATGGACAAAGGACAAAGGTGCCCAATCAGCACTTCTGCTTTCTTTCTTTCTTTTATTTAAACACACGTTTTGTGTTGTTGTCTCAACCTCTCCGGCCCTGTCACCTCACCTCGTCGTTTCATTTCCTCTTTGCCATTGGTCGTCTGAGGTTCGCACAGGAAGTGTCACGGTCCGCCCCGGCCCGCCTGCCGCCGCCTCCCATCGCTCAGCGTTGTGTGTGTCAGGCGTGCAAACAGTTGTGCAGGGGAGGAGCTGCGGTCTTCTCCGCTCCATCAAGTCACCCTCCTCTAACCGGCCGTCTCCTCGCCGTCGCTCCTCTCAGATGGTCCATCTGTCACCCACCTGCCCGCTGATCTTATAACCACACGGCAGCCACAGCATGAGCTTTAGGAAACTGAGTGAGTACTGCGTGTGTGTGTGTGTGTTTAGTAAACCGGGACGTTATTTAGGTTAAATGACAGCTGTCATGTCGGCTTTGCAACGTTTTGCGGGTGATGATGACATGCAAAAAAGAAACACTTTCAGTGTTTCGATTGGGAAAGGAAGATGTATAAAAAGATTTAGCTTTTAGTTTACCATGTTTAATTTATATGCACTGTATGATCTTTTTTTAAAGGACATTTTGAATTATTTACAGCTTTGTGAAAGCGGGCCTTTTCATAAATAACATAAAAACGTGTGCATGACTGCTGATGCCGACTCGCACAGGGACAACCAAGCAGGGCCGTACGCACTCATCCGTTGCATGTGTACTTCCTGCCTCTGAGAAACACGTCATACTTTTACACCCTGAGATGCTCCATCATGTTCCACAGCTAGTTGCTGACTTTGTTTTTCGTCAGGGTTTCTTTTGCTGAAAAAAAGAAATGAATTAGCCGAACCCAGACACTCAGAGCTCTGTGGTGATGAGGGGGAACTTCCCCGTCGATGCTCTTCTTTAACACTTCTACCCCCTCTTGAAAATAACTCTGGCGGGCCAACACACGCACCAACGCCTTACACGTGTCACACATGACCGCCGTGTTTCTTCTCCTTTTCTGATTGTTCCCCTGTCAAGGTCTCAAGTGGTTCGGTAGCCTCACCAACCTCTCCTTTCGCCGTTCCACTGACAAGTCAGATTCCAAGTCCTCCTCGTTGAAGTCCGGGGCGGGATGCGGTCCAGCGGACGGCCCGGACTGTGCCGGACCGCATCCGGTTGTCGAGGCGACGGTGGACGACATGGGGGTCATGCGCCCTCGCACCGCCAGCTACGTCCGCTCCAGTGAGAGCTACACGCACATGGGCACGCTGCCGCGGCTACTGAGGAGGAAAGACAGGAAGAGCAAAGGTGAGGCGGAAGACGTTAAGCAAAACGACTCTTCAGAGAAACGGGACAGCGAGCACGATAGTGAGAAGTGCATTTCTTATTTCTCCAGGAGGCCCCGACGGCGATAAGGCGGGTAAAGACAAGAGCAGGGTCGGCAGGAGTCAAAGCCAGCGACCTGCAGGGGACCGAGAGCGTGGGGCCCGAAGGCCCACGGCGGCCTCGTGCAAGGTGTCTGGACGTGACGCCGGGGCCCAGCCCGAACTTGTGGGTGGAACCGGTGGGACGAACATCACCTCTGCCACGTCGCCACCTGGTGGCGCGAGCGCCGCACTGCAGCCAGAGACCGGCGACGGGCCGGACGTTCAGCCCGAGGAAACGTCAGCGCCTCCACTCCGCCGAGGGGATGGCGGGACGCGAGGAAAGGATGAGTTAGAGTCCGGGCCTGCGTCGGAGCCAAGGGAGGGGGCAGAGAGCGCACAGCTGCCGGAAGGGAACACCAATTCGGACTGCAGCACCAGGTGGTTGTCTTCCTTCCTTATGTCAACTGCTCATTTGCCTTCCAGGGGTGTAAGGCAGAGTTACATACATCTAAAGGTCATGCTACACAATGAGCCGGTTGTGTTTGGTATGCACGGTGGGCTTTCACTTTGATAAAACAAAGGAAAGGTCAGGGGAAAACCATCAAAACTTGAGCCGCTAATCAACATGAATCTATGAATCCTTTGTAAGCTGTGCGTTTTATTTCCAATTATGGAAACGGCAAAAGAGCTCTGAGGCCCAAAACTGGTGTGAACTGATACCCGATAAAGGTCTTAAAGTGGCTCCCGTATTAATCACCCAGTGGGTCTGCCTGGAGAAACGTGGGTCAGAAACATGTACAGTAAAGTACAGTTTTATGATATTTCTAATGCATTATTTAAAAAAGTTTAAAAAAACTAAAAAACATGCTATTTAAGATTAAACCTGGGGCCCCTTGCAAAAAAGCTGCATGCAGTTTCGGTCACACTGTTTCTCTAACGACCTTTCCCCTTTCTTTGCATGCTTTTACAACAGTCTGAGGCCCTCGGGTTAAGTTAATAAAGTTTGACCTCTTGTGGAGGACGCAACACTCCTTGCGTGTCCCTAAAGCAATATGTTACGTATACCCACAATATATATTGGCCTGGTTATATTCCAGCACTGATAAGCAGCGGGAGTGATGGATCTGTGGGTCAGAAGGGGAACTGCAGAACATTTGTATTCTGTCCATGCTGAAGCAAGCCAGGGGGCGCACGTTGAGGGCTTGGTTTCTTCTCCTGAGCTTGGAGCCATCGGAGAAAGTCACAGTTGGTGTTGATTTTGCCGTGGACGGGACTTGCCTCGGGCGATGGGTGTAGGGTGAGCCGCTAACAGGATTCATTACTCCACTTTTTAAAGGCAGCAGGTGATATTGATTCCTTGCATCGATCCGATGCTGCTGAAAAGAAGCCGCACTGAGGATCTAATGTTTTCTTATTTTGCATTAGCGTGTTACAGCTGTAGACCGCTCATTGTGTGTGTGTGTGTGTGTGTGTGTGTGTGTGTAGTGGATTCCTCAACAGACTCAGAACTTCATCTTTGAGAGAGTTTGATGAGGTCAAAAAATATGGTGCAACTCTTCAGCTCAGCGGAGCACATCGGCTTTCCTCGTTGACCCGGATGCATGATAGCAGAGTGCATGCGTGTATCGTGTTACAGTGGGATTTACACCACGTGTGTGTGTATGTGTGTGGGTGTGTGAGCATGCAGCATCAGGCCATTAGCTCAGCCCGGGGACTGTGGGAAACAGGGCTGCATGGTCAAGTCCTCTCGTCCCTCTCCGCCTGCAGCTCTCCCATACCTGACTTTGCCTGCATTTCCCTTCATTCTCAGTGTCTGTCGTCACTGGTAAGATTCGGCTGTCATGGCGTCTCTGGGGAGACTCTCCTCAGATCAGCATCAGTAGGAGTTTTGTTTTCTTTTTGCCTGTGCATGTGAACGTCTTTGTTGGGGTCCGGGATTGATAGTCGAACGCTGCATTCATCGATCAAAGGCAACTTGATCAGCAGCAGATTAAGCATTTCAGTCCATTTTCAAGAACCGGTTTAACTTTTTTAATGTGACGATTTAATGGTCTTCGCTTCACATCTTATGATAGTGGACTGTTGGCCAAATAAAACTATAACCCTTTCAATACATTACTTTTGTGTCTGACGTTGTAATGAATACGTGTCACTCCCTTATGACATTGAAGACAAAGAAACATTCATATGTCAATGCTGATTTCAATTCAATTTACAGTTTACAACATATGGCAACCTTTGTTCTTATCATTGAGTGATATATATTGAGTCTGATCCAGTAGACAGTAGGATTAAAATAATGTTTTAATATTAAGTAAATAAATGTTGAGTATAATATCAGCTCCAAGTTTCTAAAGTAAATAATAAGCATATATTATGTATAACAATTATTATTAAATCAAGCATGAAAGTGCTTCATGTCAATAGATTATTTGAAATGAAATAAAGCCGTACTGCCTTTCTGAAGTTATCAGACAGCTGCAAGATGAAATGATTATTTGGTGAAATAGGTTTTGCATTCAGAAACCTAATTATTCGTTCAAAATCGTACTTGCAACATTGAAGCGATTTCTCTCATTTCAAAGTATAAACACAAGTTTTGAACTACAGCTGGAATGCGTGACATGAATTCTGTGTTATCTGTGTGTTGTTTGTTTCCAAAGCCGGATGCAGGACAGCTCACATTCTTCTCTGGATAAACACCGACGTTATCATCAGCGCAAATGATAGAGGCGAATATTTTACATTTCTACAATACTTGTTTTAAAGTGTAAGCGCAGGGCAGCTTACGAAGGGGAATGCAGAGCTCCTCTGTCATGGGACCTATTAACATTCCCAAGCCCCGCCGCCATGATGGGACCCTTTGATCTGGGCCCTCTGTGGCCGCGTGTAACGCGGCTTTGCTCCGGGCCCTGTGAGACCCATCGTGCAGCTTCAAGCTGCGCCGAGTGATTGATCTTAAAACTTGTAGGAGTGTAATTACCCCTTTAGCTCGCGCTCGCTCCGTATCACAAAGCACCCACAGCGGGCCTCCCCGGGCCTCCCCGGGCCGCCGGGCGGCGGGGTTCTGACACACGATCCGGATGCATCGAGAGTGTGAACGTGTGAGTTATTGCGCCTGAGAGATTCGAGAGGCCGGCTCCTTTTTTCGGCAACCTTAGATGCTCAGCGGGGTTTGTTATCTGCCCGCTCTTCCAGCCCCCCCCCCCATGAAGTATGCCTGCAACAACATTCTGCTCACTAGAGGGGCCACTGCAGAAGGGCTTCATGGGAAATACAGGGATGTTTTATCAACTGTTTTTAAAATGTACTTCACCTGCTTACACCAGATCAGAAAAACAATTTATTTTGCATTTCTTTTCTCTTATCACGTTGCCTGACAATGTCACTTATTCATCTTTTTTTCCCCCCCTCAGCCATATGGAGCCAGCGGAGAGCCAGGTGCCATATGTGCAGGTAAGTCTCCTGTGTGCAGCTGCCCTTGTCTCAGGCTCTTCAGTCCATGTCACATGATTGCACAGAGGGTGTGTGTGTGTGTGTGTGTGTGTGTGTGTGTGTGTGTGTGTGTGTTGAGTATTTTCCCACAGAAACATGTCTTGCTCCATGAAGTCTGTGCTGTATCAGTGACACGCATGCAGACACATGAAATGCCGGACATGCCAGTAGATATAAGCAGTCGTTTTTCAGCCTGTAGCAGCGATTCAATTTGAGTTTCCACCTCTCTCCCAACAGCGTGGGATTCGATTTTTATTTTTATTTTATATGAGCTCCCAGTTGTAATTGGGGCTTATTATTGGCCATTTGTCTTCGACATCATTCTTCATCCTTTCAGCAGGATCCCTTGGCCTTCAGCCTGACTCAGTCGGCCGTTTAGCTGATTGTATTTTGGAAGCCAGGGCAGCGCAGGCCGCCAGTAGGGGGGGGCAGTACGCCGGCGATGTGAACTCCTGGCGGATCAGAGAGCGAAGTGAAGCTGCTTCATGACCTTGGAGATGGGGGACAGCGTTTACGCGTTCTGTTTCCCACAAATTAACATTAAAACAGATGTTGGACTTCAAAGTGGGAGGTGAGAGTCAAGAAGGGGAAGACTGAGGAAGGAAGAAAGGATGAAAAAGAGAGAGGAGGTGTTGAGCTGGATCAATTTTACTATTGATTTTCTATCACGGCTTGGTGGTAAAAGCCTTCTCTTTTTGCAGAAACACATTATATACAACTTCCTTTGTTCATATTTAAACCGCATGTAAATACACTTCTGCAGCCCTGTCACTCTGCTTGCCCCAAACGTAGTTCAAGGCCCAATTAGTTATTTATTTGAAGAATTCTTATAAATGAGAAGTTGTGGGCTGGTTTTGCTGCAGCGTTTATTGATGATGTAAACTTAAACTTTGATATGTAAAAAAACCATCATAAATTGGATAGAGGTTTTTATTGACTTCTAAAGTCTGTCCAAAATACTGAACATGCTCTTAAATCTTTTATCTGTATTCATTTTTCATGATGTCAGTGAAGCGTTCTTTATTTCAAGTGCAGATCGTCACCTCCGCTGTGAAGCACTGTGGGTCTACTTATAAAACAGGTCACCTTGTGAGTAGAACCATTAGCACTACTTTCACAAATTAAAAATACAGTTGTTTTTTCAATTTTAGACAAGCATGACTGCTTTTAACACTTTACAATGTTTCAGGCATGTTGTGTCGGATGACATTTCAGAAGTGAAGTAGGATTCTTTGTTTTGTATCCTCATATATGCCCTGTGACCCAAATTTGTTTCCTATTTCCATGAATTTCTGTCAAATACCTTATCAGCCTCACCTCCCACCACCACGCGCCGCCCCACCCACCACCACCACCACCACCACCCACTGAGAACTGCCAGCTAGCCTTCCAGTTCCTTCCATTTCCCCTGAAACATTCATGACAACTGATGTTTAAATCAGGAGTTGGACTCTGTGTTCCCTGTTATAACGGGGAGGACCGGGCCAGGGACTCTCCCCCCCGGTTGGTCACATGTGTGTGTACACTTATATCCTCTCTCACACACACACACACACACACAGCTCCAAGAAAATAAGCGCTCGCTAAGAATAGCCCCAAAGCATCCACAACAGGTTTTTCATATTTTAGGCTTCATCATAATAAAACATATATCATTGTCAATATTTCATGCGGATGCACGGCTGGTCAAGCAATGGCAACTATTTTTCGTGACTTTTGGTTTAAAATGGCTGAGATTGGTGATAAAACGGGCCTGATGACATCAAGCAACTAATAAAAACCACTCAGCCGCACTTTAAGTGTGTGTTTGTTTTTAGATAGTGTGCGTGGGTGTGTGGTGCTCTGGTTTTTTTGCCACAGCCCGGCCAGGCTTTGTCTGGTGGTTTGGTGCTGCTCTGACGGGAGAGGCAGGAGGTGGGGGGGGCTGGTGTGGGGCTGGGGGGGTTGGAATAGGTTTGGATCATATGTGCTTTATTAACATACGTCTGGCCCAAGAGTCTCCCCGGTGCTGGGGGGTGAGGGGGGCCTCAGCTGTGTGTGTTACTGCGTGTTTGATTATGCGAACGGTTTGAATTTTCTAAATCTGTATGCGGCCTTAAATTAAGGCAGCGCCCTGTCGGTGCGCGTGTGTGTGTGTGTGTGTGTGTGTGTGTGTGTGTGTGTGTGTGTGTGTGTGTGTGTGTGCCTGCGCGTGCCAATTACAGTACATGAATTAATGTGGCGCCTCTGTAAATGAGAGGGGGTGTAAAGTGCCAGGATTGGGCCTTGGTAACACACCCCTGGAAAGGCTCCAGTTCATCATTCCTTCACTGAGCAGGCAGACTAACAAAGATTGCACGCATGAATCTGATTATTTAGCTCGCGGTGCTATAACGGAATGTAGACATTCCACCTTGACAAAATAAAATAAATACCTTAAAATGCAACACAGAACAACGACCTGCAGTGAATAGCAGTTGGGTGAAACCTTCAGAATGACATTTGAAAGTTTTCCATTGCCCAACGTATTCAAGCACAGCACGTAACGTTTACTATATTTGTCTTCTGATCTGTGTTAGCATGCTAACATTAGCTCTTTAGCACGTCGAACTCATACAGTGGCTCCATCAATGTCTGTAACGAGTCCTGCGGCAATCGATACGCTGTAGTGAACGCTTGGATTACTTCACTTTGCCCTGCGGGTGGTCCGGGAGGATTAAGGTGGTCGAGATATTTCAGTCCGGACCAAAGTGACTCACAGACCGACCGACTGCCAACGGCCTCCATCGAGCCACACTAGGCAGGGAATGCTGACTCTCTGCAACACTTTGCTAATTGTTTTTTGTTGTAAAAGCCTCGTTGTCTAATTGCCTCTGTCGTTATGATTTATAACCGAGCGGTCGCTGCCTGCGCTCCTGGTATACCAGTCAAAAAAAAGGAGAATAACACGGTCAGAGACGATAAGTGAAAGGCGTATTGTGCATTTCTCAAGTTGAATCAACACCTCAGGGCCTGTGATGTTTACTGCAGGGCCATGGTTTTTTTTCTCAAGTGTTTCTTTTATTTTGTCCACACCCATCCAAGGTCAGCACACCCAGGCTGCGTCGCACAGAATAATGCACATTGATCTCTCTGAAACAGTATTACACGCTGCTTCATCCACGCTCAGGATGTGTCCGGTTGCTACAGCAACACGGTTGTGCGAGGCTATGTCACTTTAATGGGATCAAAGCAGGACAGCTGATTTTTAATTGCGCTATTTCACACTAAAATGAAGATTTTTTTTTTTTTACAAAGTCACAGCGTTCTCCACCAGGCCTCTCCCTCTCCCTGCATCATTATCGCCGGCCTTTTGAAACACACATCTGGTGGTTCAATACGGATTAACCGGTCGGTGAATGGGGGTCCACCTTGTGAAAAAGAAACACGCCGATAACAATCCGACACACACACACACACACACACACACGCGGATCATTAGCCGTACCCAGCTAACCCCCAAACGGAGCCCCAGCCTTTGCCCTTAGAGACGCACACAGCACATAGAAACACACAGGAATGTGTGTGCACGTGTAATCTTGATGTGCCTCCGGTGTGTCTCTTTTCATCGCTCCCACACGTGCGAGCTGTCTATGTTCTCTCCCTCAATCTGTGCATGTGTCTCTCTCTCTCTCTGTCACGCACACGCAGTCCTTTCATTAGTGGGACGCTTGCAGGCACACGCAGGGATTCTCCATTGTGCTCCCTATCACTAATTAATATTTAACTGAAGACCGCCTCCAAGCAGGGGAGGAGATGCACGGAGGGATGTGTGGAAGGGGAGGAAGGTGGGGTGTGGGGGGGGGGGGGGGGGGGGGAGGACAGAGGAGTGAAGCGAAGGACAGACAGGGACCAGAGAGCGAGGGAGGCTTGAAGGAGGTTTGGCGAGGGATGAGAGGTCGGGAGCTGGAGGAGGGGGAGACGAGGGGGGAGAGCTCGGTGATGAGGGAGGGGTTGGGGAGAGCGAGAGGGAGGGAATGCAGAGAGCTGTGAGAGAACGGACACGTTCAACGGATAACAGAGCGAAGGAGGAATAACAAAGGGAAGGGTGGAAGGAGCACATCGCACAGATGTTTTCTGACAAGTGTGAATTGAGAGAATGAAAGGAAGACGGATAAAAGGATTTAAAGGGAAACAAAGTGAGCATGAAGCAAAGAGAGGAAAAGAACAGGACGCACACTTAGCGTAATGAAGTGATTCTCTTTAGTCTTCCCAAAGGCACAAACTGGGACAGAGTTCCCATCATTCTTCTTCCCCCCCTTTCTGTGGAGCTTTAAATCTATTTGATTTAAAACATATTTAAGGAAGTGGACCATCGAGGGCTCCAGCTTGTCGTGGACAGTTTTATGTATATTGCTGATATTGTTTTCACTTAGTCATGTTTGTCTTGATCAATACGTGGTTTCAATACACTATAGAATGGATAAGTGCCATTGTATTGGGAAATAAGTTCAATTATGTGAAATGCAGATATTTGAATGTTGTGAATCAACCACATCTGATTCAACCCTTTATCAATTTAGTATTTCAGCACACATAGTTGCTCTGTTTGAGATGTGTTGTTGGTGAAAATGAAGGGAAAAAAAGCGTCTGACAGAATCCTTGAAAAAAAGTCTCTGACAGAATTACCTGCCGTTTATTCATGCAATACTTCACGGTTTGACTCTGTGAATTTGTAATTGCTTCAATGTCTCCCAAAGCTGTTTGACTAACGTTCATCTTCAAACGCAGACCGACGTGGGGAAACACGAGCTGCAGCGTTCAGGATGAATCTGTTTTAAAACAACAAGGGGATGTACTTATTTTGTACTTATAATAAATGACTCGCGTAGTCTAATTTTGTGTAGTGGCTTTTGCTAATGGCCTTAGCATTACAATATATTTTCATCACGGCTTGCCTGAGGGGGAATTAGACTGCTAACATTGCTAATTTTAATACTAAA